ACACAGCTAACTTTGTCAAATATTCACTGAATATATTGAATGACTGACTTATCATTGTATTTCCACGCAATATTTGTATGCGTTACCAAATGTTCATATGTATCACAGTCACCTCATAATGGATTCATCACAGTCCTACTATATACATTACAGTCATGGTGACATAGGACTGCTTGAAAAACATGCCACCTTTTAGAGAAGATTATGAATATGTCAACTTTCGTGCAGACAATAGTTAAAATAAGGATCCAACAGTCTTGTAAAAGTTTGTTTGAGTTAGCTCAACCAATAGTAGTCCATACAACGAAAGTAAAGTACACTTAAAATAATCTCACAAGCCATGTTCTAGGTTGTACACTCAAAAGTGTTTGGAAAAGAATGACACAGGGACATGCCGAGGAATACTAACTAAGGGCCCTTGGCAGCTACATTTTTTTAGAAATAATCATGATTGTGTACATTACTGAATCTTCAAATGAATTATAAGGAATTGGGAGTTTTTACGTTCAAATTGCGAGTCTGTACTGTCATTAGAAGCCCACATCATGTGAGCAGGTCTGCATTCATCTCTGTCATAATCTGAATACTTACACTTACAATCCTACACTTACACTTACAATCCTACACTTACACTTACAATCCTACAAATTCAAGAAAATGCTAAAATGTGTGCAACATTACACAAATACCTGAGCAGTTCGAGTTGGTGAAACAAATGAATGATGAGAATTTACTACACAAATGACTATAAAAGATTCCTGTTTTTTTTAACCTATATATACTAGGTACCTTAAAAAATTAAAATGACCACCAAAAGCTAGGATTAGATTTGTTGGTTATATTCATTACCACTGGTCTGGATCAAGACAAAAAAAGGATGTAAATCTCACTAGGTCCGCAATCGGTAATAATCAAGCTGTACCAGGTCGGCCATCAAATATGAATAACCTGGACCAGACAAGGATATCACATCCTTGATTATCTAAAGGTATTGGGGCACCATAGCCATTCTGAAAGAAGCATATGTGTCACTGCATGGGCACCTAATCTAACCCAAATTCTTCACTGGGGGTGTTATACTTTTAAAAAAACACTAAAAAGACTCATATTAATGTTCGTTTATAGGATTGTTTTTGTTTATGTCAATCGTGTTTACTTCGAAATGTGTCAATAAAATTTGAATAAATCTATGTTTAGAATCTGAGTCGAGGAAGAACAATGTTGAAATATTTCAGTGAAACCAATAACAAGCTGATGACGATGTGTTGGTATTGCCATTGTTATCGCCGTGCCACCACTGTCATGTGGATCAAGATTTATTCGTGGTAGAGCTAGCTAGCTTCATCGTTTGAATAGCGACTGCGAGTCATCAGCGGAGGAAGACATGGGAGCCGTGCGGGGAGCTCCCAGTTCAGCAGTGGATGGAGTTTTCAAAGCTCCTTTCTGGGATAAGCGTGCGCCAAGACGTTTCGTGGCCAGCAGTGAGAAAACTACTCGGACCAACCCATTATGACTTTAAACTGGGATATTTAGTCGACAGTGGCAAACAGGCAGTTTCTGTGTAGAAACCTGGAAAGCAAGCGCGCGACGCGATGGCCGCCATTTGCAAAGTGTCCTTTCCGATGATTGTTCGCCAGAAATATATCAGGCACATGAATCATGCTACAACCTTAGACATTCTTAAGGAACGATTGAACAAATATGTTGTTACTTACCACTGCTTTCGTAATTATATCATGCTAAATTTGTGGATATTTGTACGTAAACTGTTTGATTTGTCTCTAAGCTCTCCGCAACGCATGCGTGACAGATTCCGCCCTCGCTCTGAGCTCGGGGCATTGTTTGCGTGCGGGAACCTGACTGGTTCACAAGGGCAATCAAGCTTTCCGCGCTACTATTCGCCTATGTGTGGAGCAAACCTGACTCGGAGCTTCACGTAGACCGATTTGCGAAAAACCGAGCTGTTCCGATTGCCTTAGTAATGGATTGCTTCCCTTTGATAATATTCAAAGAATATATGAAATTTTAAACCAGTCAAAATAAATGGATAATAACAACCATCACTCATTTGGTGAAAATCTTTGTTTCAAAATTATTTTTCTCTTTTTCGTTCTCTTCCGAACACACCTGATTTTTGTGTGTTTTTTTCTAAATAATGTTTTTCATTTCCATTTCGACAGAATTTAACAAGAACCGCAGCTTGTATTCCTGTTGCTGAGTGAGAATTAAATATATTTGCTTCGGTATGCGCATTGAAAGTGACATGTAATTGATTTGTGATGTTTATATAAAAGGTGGACGCACCTACTGACTAAAACCTCCACGTTATTCAAATTCCACACGTTGGTTGTTGTTGTTGTTGTATTGGTTTTGTTTATTTTATACATTTTGATTTAATTATTTTATTAATTTTATTTATTTATTTATGTTTTTGTTGGGGGAGGGGTGGGGGTGTATTTCTTTGGTCATGTCACAAGCTGAAGGTATAATATGGAATGGTTGTAATTGTGGAAAAGTTGAAAGAGGAATCTAAAGTGGACCAAATATGTATTTTACACCTTTTAAAGCTACTGCTGGTCCTAAACTATGTGTGAACACCTACTTGATTAAAATAAATATTTGTGTAATTTCTGCAAGATAGTACACGAATCTATAGTCCTGTTTTAGGGGTGCCGATTGTCGCAATGTAGTACGCCATGTTTTCCCATACAAGTGAAATCAATTTTAACTGTGATCTGGTCCTGTTTGGTTGTGCTCATTAGTGGTGGTCCAATAAATTGAAATAATCGAAGATTGGTCGCAGTGACTAAACGACCAAGCAATCGATCATGTTTTCTCATAATCGAACACAAACGATTCTGGAACACTTTGTGCATTAACAATATTTTTCACATGGTTGTTTTTGTCTGTTACATTTTATGAGCACTACACGCTCGTTCCAAGTCACAAATGAATTTATCTTAAAGACCCCAAGAAATTTATGTTCATAACATACTAGTCATCTTTTAAGGATGTGCAATTTGCAAAAAAAAACCCAAAGAACTACATGTTTTTCCTTTATGCTTTTATGTATGAACAAAAATAACCAGGAAAATTTCATAAATGACGCGAACCAATTATTTTCGATGTTTGATCGGTTGTAATGAACCAATCATCAATTATGTGATTTTAACCAATTCCAAACACTAGTGCTCATACATTTCATACCGATGAATTCTTCATTTAATACGCTAGACAGTTAAGTTACATGATCATGGTACCACATATGTCTTATTTAAAAAGAAAGAGTTGAAATAATATTATCAGAAGTACAGAAACGATAAGCAAGTATGGTGGTATACCAGTACGAACGGGTGAGTGAGTGAGTTTAGTTTTACGCCGCACTCAGCAATATTCCAGCTATATGGCGGCGGTCTGTAAATAATCGAGTCTGGACAAGACAATCCAGTGATCAACGGCATGAGCATCGAGCTGCGTAATTGGGAACCGATGACATGTGTCAACCAAGTCAGCGAGCCTGACCACCCGATCCCGTTAGTCGCCTCTTACCACAAGCATAGTCGCCTTTTGTGGCAAGCATGGGTTGCTGAAGACCTATTCTACCCCGGATCTTCACGGGTAACGAACGGGTGGTTTCGCCCCTGACAAGGGGGTTGATGTAGCCATGTGGTCAAAGCGTTCGCTCGTAACGCCCAAAACCCGGGTTCGATTCCCCATATGTGTTCAATGTGTTAAGCCCATTTAAATTCTTGTGCCCCCCGCCGTGATATTGCTGGAATAATGCTAAAACGGCGTAAAAAATAACTCACTCACTCTCCCCATACAGTAACAGAGCTCCAGATAAGATTTAGCTCATGTGGGTACCGTACCCACTGGGTTTTTTTGGAGTGGGTATTATGAATGTTGAGTGGATATTTCATTTTCCATTACCCACTGCTTTCAGATATGTGCGTATTTCAGTCATTTTACTCACCTAAGTATTATGTCATTGAGTAAGTTTACTAAGCAGGTATGTTCTGCCTCATGTCATACCTAATCAAAACCAACTTAAATATAATGGAAATGCTTTCATAAAAGATCACTCATCCTATACTGACAGTACAACACTTGTCCTATACTAACAGTACAACTTGATAGCAATCGATGTCTTTTTCATTACGCAAGCGATTTTTATAAATACATTCCGTACGCATTTGTTTAAACTTTTTGCGTATCTAACATTTTAATTGCGTAATTGGTACGCAACAACTATTTTTCAATGCGTAATTGGAAATTTTCTATGCGTATTTTACCCGGATACGCAGCTTATCTGCGCCTCTGAGTAACACAACTCCCACCCTCTCATCTATTGATAAACAAACGAGCGCTACGTCATGTTGTTACACCGTGATGTACCTGTAATTGTGTCCAAAGTCCTCGTGATGTCCCGCGCTATATTTGGTCTTCTTCAGTAACTAGACTAACGGGATCGAATGTTCACGCTCACCGACTAGGCTGATGCATATCATGACATCCAAAATGCGTAGTACCCGTGAAGATCCGGGTTAGAATTGATCGGGTTAGGAATTTGATAGGGAGATCAGGCTCGCTGACTTGGTTAACACGTGTCATCGTATCCCAGTTAAATTGCATAGATCGATGCCCATGCTGTTGATCACTGGATTGTCTGGTCCAGACTCGATTACTTGCGGCGTAAAAATAAAATTCACTCAGTCACAGATCTGTGTTATGGAATTCTGTCGGCATGGATTTCATCTCATGCTTTCGACCACTGATTTGCCAGACTGGATTAAATTTCATTCCGCAGGTTTAAGACATCCTTCAGTCACTCATGTATACGAAATATAGGCGACTTTAAATTTTACCAAAAATATTTATTGCTGTTTGTTAACAATTAACAAAATAATATGCATGTACATATATATGCAAGTAAATATTGCATGCATAAAGTGCACATCATATTGTGGCCTTTGATAATCAAATTTAATGTCACGAAATACCCCATACGTGACACAAACGTCAGTTAGGATATGAGTAGTGTACTCTTTATGCATGCATCATTGCCCAGGCCATAACACCTAACTGATCTTTTTACATTACGTCACGACAACGTTCTGTCTGCGGCGTAAAATAACACTCATACTGTAGTGAAGGATGCCTGGTATTAGGACATGACCTGACTGAACAAGGAACGTGTTCGATAGAAAGGTGTGGTAGACAACGTCTATATCGAACACGCTTATAACGAACTGTCGGATATAACGAAGTTCACAAAGTGTGAAGCCGAAATTGAAAACAATGTATTGCAGTAGTCTACGGTTATAACAAACTGATATTTCCAGTTCAGGGTTTACACGTTGTGCTGACCTGCATGGTACACAGTTTTCGTGCACTGATATATGGGAACCCTCTTGTAAAGTTTGTGTCGGTTTTGCAAGCACATCGCCTTGTGTTATCTCTTAATTGGCTCTGTCTTGTGATACACATTTGGCTTAAATGTGTATACATGTACGTATATTCTATTGTGCATGCATTATCAAAACCATTTCACAAGCAGATAAGCCTCGACAGACTGATAATCCAGGTTAGGTTTTGCTCTCAACTTACGCTTGGCGTAAGAGTTCCCCCGAGTGGATTGGGTGGTCAGGTTCGGCGACTTAGTTAACACCCCGGAAGCGTGGATAATAATCATTGCTCATAATATTAATCACCGGTTTGTGTGGTCCAGATTCGATTATTTACAGGACGCCAACAATACGGCTGGAATACTGCTGAGCGAGGCGTTGATCAACACGCAAGATAGGTAGACCGTTATTACTCTTGTGGGTAAGGTCCTGATATTTTATAGAAATCTGTGACCTAAGTGAGATCCTTTTCAAACGTTGCATAAGCCATATATCTCAAGACATGTGTTGTTTGTCGATTTACTTGAAACGTCATTTCTAATTATTAAACGTTTTAAACTCTGCCTTCAGTCGTGATCAAGACCCTTCACGCCCGCCATTGCTGCGAAGCCAAACAATGCAACAAAGACATTCAGCATGCCTTTACCATGGCCGAATTCGTCTCTCAGAATTTCAAAACACGTGACGTAGAGGAACGTCCCACACGCAATACCCTGAAGAACCCCCGACGCCATTGACTGTGCGTCAAGGTCAAGGTTGGAAGACGTCACAGCTATGCCGGTGCATATTCCGATCGGCGACATCAACGAAAACAAGAAGAGGCACGCGTAAGGTTTCTTAAAGTACGGCACAAAGGCTCTGAAAAGCTGAAGACCTAGACAAAAGGCAACTAGACTTTTGTGAATCGAGATGGCAATGAAGACCTCCCAAACGTCTGTCGCTTCCTCCTGCAGTCCCACTGCTAAGCCGTCAAATATTGTATGGAAGGACAGCGCGATCAGCAGCAAGAACGCGCTGAGTCCAGACGCGGCAGAGAGTGCATCCAGGTCATGAGCGTGGGATATAGATCTCTCCAGTTCACTGCCTTCGGACACCGAGGGCATGCTGCGACCTCGTTTTTCCATGATGCCCATGTCATCGTCAGAACCCTGTCGGTTTTCTTTGCCCAATAAAGGCGACTTCTCTGTCGGGGGTTCCTTGTAGGGTTCACGTTTTGCACGATTCTTCGGAAGTGACGTCACAACCACTCCCGTTATAAACAGCATGGCTAACTGTTCCACTCCGGCGATGAGGAAGAATCCCGCGCCAGTGAGCATCTCGAATATCGGGTAGCCGGTGAAGTTGTAGGCGTGAGTTAGTCCCTGTTCCAAATCCTCCTTGCCCTCCACCATCAGATGAAGCAGACACGTGCCAAGAAACACGCCCCCTGCGAAGCAATTCAGCAAACTCAGGACCTTTTCCCTTCGAGCAGATGCGTTGGCACCCCAGTTCTTTTTAATGATGAAGTACGGAATTATGCCCAGCAGCAGCGTAATAAAGAGAAGAATGAAGATGGCAACGATTTTGGCTGTTGTGGCGTCCATTGTCGTTGACCTTTCCAATCTGCAAGTAAAACAATAGCTCCAATGAAAAAAGTGCGATACATCAAAATGTGGCTCAAGACACATAATCAAGACAAATATGGGGAGTCCTGAGCCCTGATTCTCGAAACGTTCGTAGCCCTAAGAATTCTTAACTTTGATCGTAGCCAATGTGTTAAGAATGGGCTTAAGAAGTTCGTAGGGCTACGAACGTTTCGAGAATAGCTAGCCTGGTTAGTGAGTATAGTTTTACGCCGCTTTTAGCAATATTCCAGCAATAACACGGCGGGGGACACCAGAAATGGGCTTCACACATTGTACCCATGTGGGGAATCCAACCTGGGTCTTCGGCGTGACGAGCCAACGGTTTAACCACTAGGCTACCCCGCAGCTCCTTCTGGTTAGATGGGGCACGGATGGTGAGGTTTACTCCCATAAGAACTACATCCCATTTGAACTTCATCCCAAATTAACTACAGGGATTAATTAGGGATTAATTATCTGAGTAGAGGCACCCCCATGGCATGTAATGAGCACGGCCCACCAGCTCTGCCAGAAAAACTACATGCTTAAAATCCTATTGACCAGTATTTACGTTGCCTCTAAATGAAATTATGTTGTTGTAAAGGTAATCTAATAACCAGAAAGTACAGGACAAGAGCGAAGGGTATGCTGTAGGTAGTGAATGTTCTTGTATTCACGGGGCGGTGGGGTAGCCTAGTGGTTAAGGCGTTCGCTCGTCACGCCGAAGACCAGGGTTCGATTCCCCACATGGGTACAATGTGTTAAGCCCATTTCTGGTGTTCCCCGCCGTGATATTGCTGGAATATTGCTAAAAGCGGCGTAAAACCAAACTCACTCACTCACTCTTGTATTCACATGACAGAAAAACAAAACAAGCCAAGCTTTGTATATTGGAGTAAAGGTAAAAGTATATTGGAATAAAGGTAAAAGTATATTGGAGTAAAGGTAAAAGTATATTGGAGTAAAGGTAAAAGTATATTAGGGTAAAGGCGAAATATAAACGTTTCTTCATGTGTACAATGAAAAGTAAGTGTCGTCATAGGCGACGCATAACGGTAGTAGCTATGTCGTCATCATATTTATTACCCACGTAGTCAACGTATGGGTAGTTGCATACTAATCTCGTACGTCACACGAGTGTCGTATCGCGTTGACCTGTGTCGTAACGACTTTTATTACCCACGAGGTCAACGTATGGGTAGTTGCATACTAATCTCGTACGTCACACGAGTGTCGTATCACGTTGACCTGTGTCGTAACGACTCGACCTGAGATTCTAACGATGTGACTGGATAACCGATGACTTCTCAATTAGGTCACATTCTGACGTAACTATTTTTTCATTTATAACAAACACGTGAATTCATTCATTCTACAACTTAAATGCATTGTGGGAATGTAAACATTGCGAACGTTTAATTGTGAGTCGAACTGAGACATTATATCCGTCGAAAAACATAAACGTAATGTTTCCACCAGTGATGTTAGCCGAATGAAGCATCTGGAAACCAAGAAACGAGGTGCTACTGAGTAGTTTACTGTAGGAGGCTGTACGAGGCGATGACAACTGACATGCACCGTGACGTCGGTTACCAAGGCAGTGACGTCATTACAGTGTGACGTCATGCAAATATTGTACTACAGTACAAAACTCTTCCGCAACCTCTTTATGAAACCAGTTTCGGTTTGAAACCAAAAACATAACAAAACTACGCTATTTTGTCAATTTAATGCATGTAAGACGTGGGTAATAAATAAAATACCACACTCGGTCTCATTACATATCCCGGTGTCAGGGGTTTTCGACGATGTAAGACAAAAACGTAATTTTTATATGTAATATCATTTAAAGTTTTTATTTTACTAACATGGAGTGATAAAGGATTTATCATCCAAAACTGTGTTCCACAGTAGATATCGCTTGTGTGAGATTAGACAATATCTCGTAGGAGATATCGTTTTGACAGTAGTCTTTGTACAATGCCCTGACAATGCTATGACGTCATGTACTTGATGACGTCACAATGTTATGACATCGCTGCACTGCAAATCTAATGGCAGTACCATGTTCAGAGATGTACATTTTTCATTGAAAATTAATGAAGAGTGATTTTTTTATGATAAATAGAATCTCACCCTCGTGTCTTCTGATATCAAATATATCAACACTCGTTGATAAAGTAAAAATATCCTCGGCAAGCCTCGGATATTTGTATCTTTATCAACTCGTGTTGATATAATTGATATCAGAAGACACTTGGGTGAGATTCTCTATATATTTATCTATTTCACACAAAAATATCAAGTGTTTCCTACAAAAATAGCGTTGATGACATCGTATCTGCGAAACAGTGGCCGCTCGTAACATGCGGGTATTTTGTATGGGTTTTCGACGATGAGCCATACTCTTTGCTCCGCACTGCGAGGGAGAGAGTGTTGTGATCACGTGGCTTCCTATATATATTTTGCCTGTCACCAGCAGACGACTGATCTTACTGAATTTTCGCTTGCTATTTTTTGTTATAAAGGCAACTGATTTTGCACCTGAAGTGGTATTAACGATCTCGGGTAAATAATATTGATGTTTGTTTGCTTTTTATATAACTTAACTTCCCGATTTCCATTGTCAATAAAACTTCTCAGGACAGCGACTGGGCACCCGCCATACCAGTGAAACTGTTTGTGCACTTTGATCGCACACGTACTCACCCGATATAGCACGAGCAATGCAATCGTCGAAATCACCTGAACGTCGAATTCAGCTCGTGTTGGGATACGAATTATACGAAACTCGTGACCTTCCTATGTTATCTGACCTCGCTTTCGCTCGGTCAGATACCACAGGCAGGACACTCGTTTCGTATAATTCGTATGTAATGAGGACCTCGTGTAGTATTCTCTATGTATGACGTTAGTGACAATAGGTAGTATGTAATATATATATAAGACATATCTTCTTAGGTAGTTGAAAATGCTGTTCTTAAAGCAGTAAAAGTCCCAGGAGAGACACTTAAACAAAAGAAACAAATACAGAGATGGACATTCTTCTATTTGTTTGTACCTACAATCCTAATAACTGTACACTTATGCCCATTATAAAAGCAAATCTTCCAATTTTGTATAAAACTGATACTATGATTAAAGGTTTATCAGTCCGTGTAACAAAATGTCAAACACCTCGATGTGTAACTTGTTCAATCATCATAACTGAAGACTGCAAATTTACATTTTGGGAAGGCAAACTATATACTATCAAAACCAACATGAACTGCTGCAGCAAAAATATTATATATGTTTTATTTGTTTTATTTGTTTTGTGTTGGGCAAATCCATTAAGCAGATGCAGGTGACAGCATGTAGTTAATCTGTGCACTGGACCATAACATGTGTTGTGTTAAGCTGTAGTTCTTGTCGGCTGAGTTTTTGAATGACTGTCCTCCCCTTATGGTGGCTAGTGTTGGGAATTGGTTAAAATCTAATAATTGATGATTGGTCCATTACAACCGATCAATCATCGAAAATAATTGGTTAGCGTCATATATCAAATGTTCCTGTTATTTTTTTAATTCACAAGAAATAAAGAAAAAAACATGTAGTAATTTGGGTTTATTGCAAATTGCATAAAGTCCATTTGCAAATTTTGCATATTTAAATGATGATTAGTATGTTAGGAACACATATTTCCTGGATTCTTTAAGATAAATTCAGTCATGACTTGGAACGAGCTTGTACATGTAGTGCTTATGAAATGTAAATTTAATGACACAGACAAAACCAGCCTAGGGAAAATATTGTTAATGCAAACAAGTGTTCCAAGATTGGTCGTGTTCGATTATGAGAAAACATGTTCGATTGCTTGGTCGATTAGTCGCTGCGACCAATCTTCGATAATTTCAATTAATCGGACCACCACTAATGATGGCTGAGACGTTCATAACGGCACTCAAAACCTTCTTGGTCCTTGAAAGGCATACGTGAATACATGACACTGTTTATAGATACCAATTGTATTCTGTATTATGACCTTTCAGAGCTAATTCTTGCTCCTTATTCTTGCATTCACCTGATGAAGGAGTGAGCGAGTTTATCTTTACGCCGCTTTTAGCAATATTCATGCAATATCACGGCGGGGGACACCAGAAATGGGCTTCATACATTGTACCCATGTGAGGAATCGAACCCGGGTCTTCGGCGTGATGAGCGAAGCTTCAACCACTAGGCTACCCCAACATCCCGGGATTTGTGAAAACCGAAACCGAACTGAAACAATTTTCCTTAGATGCGGACTAGATACCAGGTACTCTCGATGAAAACCAACCCACGCTTGCTACCTGACGTGCAGGTGTGTATTCAGCGGTGAAAGGGTTAAGTCTTGGTAGTGGTCAGCAACAGTAAGAGGTTTTACGTTTTGAAATTATCGTGAAGAATCGTCCCTATTGCTTCTATCATTGCCAGATGGATTTCCATCCTCTGAATTCTTGAAAAGTATTATGAAAATATAATGTAAATGTTTCTTCTGATCGGTTCCTTTACTTCCATCAAATCAACCAAAAAGAAAAACATTTCACTTCTTAAGATCTCTGTCTTTATTATTCAGAAATCTCACCCAGCCACTAACCCGCCCGAAGGGTACATTATAAATCTTCATTTGATTGGTGCATTCCAATCTATAGTCCGTCAACTTAACTTTTCGCACCCTGTTTTTCACAATTTACATAAAACTCCTGAATATTTTAAAACGCTACTCTGTTCATATGGTAACTGAATACTGTGACCTAACAAGATATCGATTTTAGTAATTCTAAAACAATTATTAAAGATTTTGCCTTTAAACCTGTCATATAATAATTGTAAAACTGTAGAGAGATTTACGAGGGGTTAACGCACGTGATGGAAAAGCCAACAACATTGTAAAATGTGTGTCAGCGTGATATGTACATGCACAGGTATTACATTAGCACGCTCAAGTGATGTCAAAGATCGTCAACACACAGGTTGTGGTAAAAACGATGTTGTACAAAGATGACCGGTAAATCATCAAAAGATTTTACAACTTTTTCAAGCGCAAGGCAAAGCGAAAAAAACCCCTCTTTTTTCAATTGAGTGTTTCTCCAAAAGACACCTAATGCAAACCAAGATCTGCAAAAGAACATAGCAAAGAGTTATCTCCCATGACACTATTTTAGAGACTGACGACATGACAGTTAAATCGGGGACCGTCTCAAAACATGCAAAGAAAAGATAGCTTGATGAATTCGATAGAAGGGTTGTGAGGGACGTCATGCGTCGGTTAAATCGATCCAGTGAGTCCATATCGTCAAGCAAACTGACGAAAATATTGTTCAAAAGAAGACCATGACATCATTGTATCAAAGCATACCATATGCAAGCTGTTGCTCAAATTTGGATCTTGATACAAGAGATTGAGCAACCAGTATTTAAAGACTTCAATAAATCTACTTGTTTAAAATATTTGTGATGATTATACAGTCCCTTTAGATTTGCTTGCAGGCGTAACAATGTAAACAAGATGCACGCGGGTCACACCATGTTGTTTGCTGTTCCATCGTATCATTTTACTCCCTTGTATAACTACTTCTATTTTTCACATTTTTATAAGATGGCTTCTTAAGAAGAAGCTTTAATAATTGACATAAAATTATGAAATTTAAACCTTAGATAGGTCATAAGATATAAAGAGCGTATGCCTAAAAACATTTTGAAGACATTTTGGTTAAAAGGTAAATTGTGAAAAACAGGGTGCCAAAAGTTCAGTTGACGGACTATACATGCATTTTAAAATGAAAATCTCGCTAATGCCAAATATTCTGATGGTACATGTACAGGGCATAGCCGTGCTTCCCGAAACTGTTAATGTGACCAATATGAGCTTTGACATACTGTTCTATAGTTTAGTATTATCATTAATTTAAGTATATAGTTCTGTAGTTAAGTCATGTTTATGTCCCAGTTTATGTAGGGAATAGCACAGGCAAGGATTAAAGATTTAAAAAATATGTATAAAGATTTGAGATGACCCGCGACTCGAAATGCTTCACAGTACAATACGTCATGATGTATTGAACTGTGAAGCATTTTGAGTCGGGGATCATCTCAAAAACAATATTTTGTTAAGCTTTGATCCTCGTAAAGACACGAGGGCCTGTGGGAAATAGTGGCATGTCTTTTAATCTGGATCTCGAAACCAACTTATATCGTGAAGCGATGGGAGCCGGTGAAAAATGATGAGCTATGGGTTGAGATCAATTCGATATTACGTGCATCGACTGTGTAACGGCCAAAATTAAATTTAGTATTCTCATATTAGTGAGTGAGTGAGTTAATATTTAACGTCACATCGGCAATATTTCAGCCATATCGTGACGAGAACATATGATATTGAAATGAAATATATGAATATTATAAAAAAAACCTGCCGACGAAGGACAGTAAAACAACTAGAATATCACAGATATGTATGTAAAACTAGTAATTAAATCTAAAACGTTTTAACTAAAGGGGGAAAACAATACAGTATAAAAATGGGCTATAAATCGCCAATAACTGAAGGTAGATCACCATACCAGGGACCATGGGGACTTACATTACTTTTGCTACCTGCATGGACCCTAGTTGGATTTACACCATCCCTTCAGCCATTGGCGACAGAAGAGAAATCTAGCCATAAATTAAAAACACACATATTCTACGATTAAAAACGTGGTAAGCCTAAATTTACTCTAAATGTGTTGGGACTTACGTACCCTCTCAGGAGGACAATAATTTTACAATACTTCAACCCCCTTTGAGGGTACAGCCATATTCTCATATTAAGTTCCATGCATCTTTGTTACGTGCTGTCGTTTATCAACAAAACATTTACTAAAAACATTAACTTTACATTAACAAAACTGAGGTATTATTTTCCTATAAAATATGCGGTTGCGTGTGGCTGAACATAATTACATTGGTCTAAAAACAATTCTAATCTTATCCGGAAGTAACCACACCACAAACCAAACGAAATACGTCCGTGTCAGACGATCATACAACAAAGATACGTAATAACAACCAGTTTGTACTTTACACCACTCATCCTCCCCCTCGCCCCCCCCACACACACACAGTCACACACACCTCCCCCTCACTTCATTAATGCCGCATTAATGTTTCCCGTATGAATAAATTATGAACCGTGACTTCCTGGTTTTATAGAACCCGGAAGCGAATCTATATAGTCGTTTGTCCTGCACTTTCGATATGTCTAAACATTAACAGCCAGGCAAATGAAAGTAAGGGTAAACTGAATTTGGTCCCAATATTCAAATGTTTGCTCGTTATATGTTATAAGATTAATATTTAGCAAATATACAATATATTTTAATAATTTTGTCATAATGCCCTGTATATGAGAATCACAAAAAACATGCATTTTGTTTGCACGCAATGTAAAACCACATACAAAACCAGAAAAACCCTTATGAATGTATGGCAGTGGTGAACATGTACTGACGGATGTTAGTATCACATTCAAATTCAGTTCGGGGCGGTAGGGTAGCCTAATGGTTAAAGCGTTGGCTCGTCACGCCGAAGACCCGGGTTCGAATCCCCACATGGGCACAATGTGTGAAGCCCATTTCTGGTGTCCCCCGCCGTGATGTTGCTGGAATATTGCTAAAAGCGGCGTAAAACCAAACTCAGTCAGTCAGTCAGTCAAATTCAGTTCAAATTCTTTATATAATACTATGCAGCCCATACGTATGACACATATCTATAGCGACAGTCACAATGATAAAATACATGATCTTCCTTACCGACACTAATAACTAAGATTGTACTACTGGTACATCGCAACACGCCTTTGAAACAATACGTATTGAAATGGTTTTTTCTCAGAGTGAGTGAGTTAGTTGGGTTTTACGCCGCTTTTAGCAATATTCCAGCAATATCACGGCGGGAGACACCAGAAATGGGCTTCACACATTGTGCCCATGTGGGGATTCGAACCCGTTTTTTCTCAGAACCGGTATACTGGGTATAAAAACATATGATGTTTTGTGATTATCTCTATGGTTTAAGTTCAAATATACACAGACTTTCATTCACACTGAAGTTTATCCATTGTAATTAATTGACAAAACAGCATAATTTACATACAATCAATTCTAATTCCAAATAAAAAAAAAAAGAAAAGAAAATACAATCCGTCAGAATCAAATCTGAATTCGAGGTTTTTGGTTATCACAACCATAACATATATTTTTAGGGCCTTAGTATACAGAACATAGGCTCTGCGTGTACAATGTATGTCACTCACTGTCAAAGACTGAAGCCCAATATATTGCAATACATATTGTTATGGTAGGCAGAATCACAATACATTGCAATACAATGTGTTTGCCAATACAAAACACAGCCCTACTAATTAACAGCTTTGTGTCAATTGTAGATACAAGTATATGAAACTTTCGGACATTTTGATGTAAATGATATTTTCAAGGTGTATAGAGAAAGCGAAGGTGAGTATATGTAGGGCACTGGAGCACGATATCATTCGCGTCCAAAGGTATTGACCTCGTTAGTCCGAACACAGAATGTGTCCTCTACAGAGGGGACATTACTTAACTCGGCCACGTATGAAACCGGACTGGTGACTGTCCGGATTGCGGGAGTCAGTATGTTACTAGATAGTGTATACAAATATCCGTAGATTAATATCGCTACATGTTAAGTATATGACATTACATAAGACGCCGTTAGAAATGTCGGTTTACCTTACAGTCTGCCGGGACCTCAGGAACGTTGTCTGTTACAGTCACATGCTCATAGTAAGTTTTCCCCCGCTTTGACCATCAGTCATATACATGCATATCATACAGGAAAAGAAATGGGTTTTACTCAAAGCTTCCGGGTTTTCTGTACGCCGCATAGACGACTTCCGATAAAGAATGACCAAACAGTAAACGGGTCACAGTGCGAGAAACGGTCGCTGTAAAACCGGTTTGCTTTTCTACCACCGTGCTGATACCACTTAGTTCAACAGGCGAAGTTGAAGTTAAAGAAAATGAAGATAAAGTTTAAACATAGTCTTCATGGCAGTATTAGTAGTAGTAGTAGTAATAGTAGTAGTAGTAGTAGTAGTAGTAGTAAGTGTAGTAGTGAGTGAGTGAGTATGGTTTTACGCCGCTTTTAGTAATATTCCAGTAACATCATGGCGGGGGGACACCAGAAATGGGAAGTGTACTACTACTACTACTAGTAGTATTAGTAGTACCAGTAGTAGTAGATTTAGTTAGTTTTTTTGTTTTGTATTTGTTTGTTTTCTTCTTGTTGTTGTTGTTTTTTTGGGGGGTTGTCGTTTTTGTGTGTTTTGTGTGTTTTTGTTTTGTTTTGTTTTTTTGTTTGTTTTTGTTTTTGGGTTTTTTATTTGTGTGTGTGTGTGTGTGTCTGTGTGTGTGGGGGTTAAGGCCAATGACCTACGTTAAAACATACATTATTTTAATACCAATGACAAGGTGACAAGAAATTGATTGTAACATAGTATTTACCCGTTCAAAATGCATTTTCCTTTTACAAGGGGTTCCTTATTCAATTTTGCACAATTACGAGCAAGATAGGATTTACAAATGTTAGCAAAGTATTACATTTCACGATCGTGGTACGAGATCTGTAGTAGTACATTGAAGATATCATATGCTTGGGTTATGGTAGGCAGGAAATTCTAAAAGAAAATAATATACTATTTTTAAAAAACCCGCATATGCGTTTTATATTTAAAAATCTGTTAATTACCAATTGTGTTCAAACAATCGTCAAAATATGTAACAAAGGTGTTGATAACATGATTTTACACTATTGCACAAGTGAAAAATCGACTTTACCTGAAAATCTTGATTTTGATGAGATTTCTTACAAGAATTAAAAAGGCATCGCCACAACGCAACAGAAATCACCTTCCAGTTCCAGTTGATATTGTGCAGCAAAGAGCATGCACTGTCTGGCTATAAAAATCCAGATTACTTTCGGAAATCGGCATTCGTTTTGAAGGAGTTTCAAGGTCAAACCCCTACGCCACGTCCTAGACGCTGCGACACGGAACATCGCCATTGAAAGAATGCACGCTGGAGATTACCAATTTTCTGTTGCCAGGCGTCTGAATGTTAGTATGAGCACGATATCACTGCTTACAGCTCGTTACAACCAAACAGGTATAACAAATTACCGTCCCCGTACAGGCAGACCTCGAGTCACCACTGCAGCTCAAGATGGGTACACCCGGGTACTACATTTGCGTGATCGTACTGCCACGGGTGAGAGCACGGCAGCCTGGGTGCCTGGACTTCGGAGGATATCCGCTCAAACTGTACGGAACAGGTTGAGAGAGATTGGTCTGAGAGCCAGGCAACCCGACGTCGGGACCATGCTACGTGGTCATTATCGCGCTCAACGCCTCCGTTATCAAAAATTATCCACTTGGTTGTATAGACATTACCTTCTTCTAAACTGATGTAAAAATTCATGGACTAAAGTCTATTTATGGACGAGTTATGCATGTTTGAAAATACAACATTTTCGCAACAGATTTCTGGGTAATGCGTTTCGTTTTTGGAAAAGTATATTCGTTTACATGTAACTCACACATTACACATATTGTTTCTTAAAGGGGTATTCGTTCCCACCCTCAGGTATTTACGTTTAGTGAGAGTTCAGATGATCTCAACAGAAACAGCAGTCGGTGTGATTTTCTTGTCGCAATGGCGGACAGGTAATGATGTTCTGTATTTATTAATGATTTAAATCCTTGAGAGGTGGACAATCTTCCGGATACGCAAACTGTGTAGTATCATTCTTGCTGATGGCAGTCTTTAATTCTTTGTGTAAAAACACTTATAAAATGTGACACATCTCCAACATCTTGTGAGAGCCAAATCCATACATAAAAAGATGCCCAGGTTGTTCTGTTAATTTGATCTAGATGATTTTTTAGGGTATCTGCCTACAAGGCTTGTAGTTTGTAATTTACACCAATATTTAATACTCCTCGCGTAATAGAGCATAAGGTCCACAATCGCCAATAGCTACTGCATTAGAAACGTGTTTTCAAGCACATGAGGCAGTTAGCAGAATTTAGCAGAATTTAAACAGAAACTGTGGAAGATTGATGATTGGTCTCTTCTCAAATCCCCATATTTCTGCTCCATGGTTTTATTTCTGTATCAAAGATTTTAAACAGTATGTCCGGTTGTATATTCTTGAATCTTCTTTGTAGTGATTTAATTATTAAATTTAATTATTTGCCATCAAAGTTTATAGTCTGTTTGCAGTGAAAACGTACCGATGAATTTCACTTTAAGCCAAAAAGTAAAAAAATGTTTCACTGTTCCAACTGCTGCGCTTACCCCCTTGTAATACAAACCAATAATAGCGATTTGAAACTATGATCGTTTGTTAAACAACTTTTATCCTTGGCTGAATGGAATTTTGAGATTTAAATGTTCAACTGGCAAGGTAAAATTATGAGGATTCGCAATCTTAATTTCATCTTATTCGAGTTACTTTTTTGTTTAAAGTGAAATTCATTGGAACGTTTTTACTGCAAACAGACTATAGCTTTGCGCCATGATAATTAGGATGAGGGCAGGATACATTAACACTTCATAATAAGATGAAACTGTTACGTCTATGTTCCCGTATTTCCATTTGTCTGTACTTTTTCAATGCCCTCGTTCCTAAACACTATAATTTTCTCATGTTGACTTCTAGTCCCCATTTCGTACAAAATGGACCCGTGAAGACCCGGGGTAGAATTGGTCTTCAGCAACCCATGCTTGCCACAAAAGGCGACTATGCTTGTGGTAAGAGGCGACTAACGGGATCGGGTGCCTGACTTGGTTGACACATGTCATCGGTTCCCAATTACGCAGATCGATGCTCATGCTGTTGATCACTGGATTGTCTGGTCCAGATTCGATTATTTACCGACCGCCGCCACATAGCTGGAATATTGCTGAGTGCGGCGTAAAACTAAACTCACTCACTCACTCGTACAAAATGTCTTCCAAATATCCATTTTCCTCTGTAATCTTACAACACTATCATCAATGATGCAAAGGTCATTGGCGTAGAGTAAAAGGAGTATCTCCATGAAAACTTTATCCACAAAACTCCCTCTCAGTTCTGTCTCATGAATCATGACTTCCAGTTCCACAGGGGCGGTGGGGTAGCCTAGCGGTTAAAGCGTTCGCTCGTCGTTTATTTTTATCAGCAGCAGCGCTAGCTTTTGTCAAATTTAGAATGTGTTCAAGCTGATAGTCAGCTGATTCATTCACACTCACTCACACTCACTCAAATCACGGAACACCAAAAAGATCTAATCTATCTCAATCTATTTAAAACGTAATATTTTTCACGTTTAAGAAAAGCACATTCATTGTCATACCACTGTATCACGTCGTGATCGAGATGCATTTAAAATGTATTTACAGCTAAATTTATGTCGTTCACAAGTTCAGGAGTGAATTCAGTAATTGAATAACGAGCTATAGTTTCTCTTCTAATAATCCTCTCTCTCTCTCTCTCTCTCTCTCTCTCTCTCTCTCTCTCTCTCTCTCTCTCTCTCTCTCTCTCTCTCTCTCTCTCTCTCTCTCTCTCTCTCTCTCTCTCTCTCTCTCTCTCTCTCTCTCTCTCTCGCATATGATATATTCATGATTCAATCTGTATCTCTGTATTTCAGTAAGTTTCGCATATTTGACACATTCTGTAGTGATTGAGTGAGTTTAGTTTTAGTTTTAGCATTATTCCAGCAATATCATGGCGGGGAGACACGAGAAATTGCCTCCTCATCACATTGTATCCATGTGGAGAATTGAACCCGGGTCTTAGGCGTGAGGAGCGAATGCTTTAACTACTGGGCTACCCCACCGTCCAAGTAGTAGTAGTAGTAGTAGTAGTAGTAGTAGTAGTAGTAGTAGTAGTAGTAGTAGCAGTAGCAGTAGGAGGAGGAGGAGGAGCATAGCTGAAGTATTTCTGACTAGGGTGTGAAACATTTGCCATCACGCACCGCAACCCCTGGCTTAGACTAACGCTTAGTCTCTGAATATATATTATTTTGATTGTAACAAATAAATTCATTTATATTGAAAAGGAGCCCCAGGGAGACCAGAGATTCAGAACATGAGGAAATCTAGACTTGCTTCATTTAGGGCTATAACACTGCAGAGAGGGCTAGTCAGTAGGGGAAATGTGGTTCAGGGACTGTGAGACAGACTTCATTGCAGAGAGGGCTAGTCAGTAGGGGAAATGTGGTTCAGGGACTGTGAGACAGACTACATTGCAGAGAGGGCTAGTCAGTAGGGGAAATGTGGTTCAGGGACTGTGAGACAGACTACATTGCAGAGAGGGCTAGTCAGTAGGGGAAATGTGGTTCAGGGACTGTGAGACAGACTACCATTGCAGAGAGGGCTAGTCAGTAGGGGAAATGTGGTTCAGGGACTGTGAGACAGACTACATTGCAGAGAGGGCTAGTCAGTAGGGGAAATGTGGTTCAGGGACTGTGAGACAGACTACATTGCAGAGAGGGCTAGTCAGTAGGGGAAATGTGGTTCAGGGACTGTGAGACAGACTACCATTGCAGAGAGGGCTAGTCAGTAGGGGAAATGTGGTTCAGGGACTGTGAGACAGACTACATTGCAGAGAGGGCTAGTCAGTAGGGGAAATGTGGTTCAGGGACTGTGAGACAGACTACCATTGCAGAGAGCTAGTCAGCTAGTCAGTAGGGAAATGTGGTTCAGGGACTGTGAGACAGACTACATTGCAGAGAGGGCTAGTCAGTAGGGGAAATGTGGTTCAGGGACTGTGAGACAGACTACATTGCAGAGAGGGCTAGTCAGTAGGGAAATGTGGTTCAGGGACTGTGAGACAGACTACATTGCAG